AACTGAGAAGAGACCCAAAGGCATCCTGAAGAAATTTCCAAAGGTCGCAAGGTAGGCTCTGTTTCAATTTATATTTCATCAAATTCGTCGGTCAAAACCTACTCAATCAAATGTATATAACAGATAAGATGATAGAAAATACATCTGAAGCTGATATTCTTTATCTAAAGCCTGTTTGAGCCAAAAACTGGAGCATTCAAAATTTCAAATTTTACAATTTTTTGCAACTTGCCTCGGATGTTTTCAACACCCATTGCCAAAATATAATTTTCCCCAAAGAGATTCTATGATATTTAGAAACTTTAATATCTATATGTAAGCTCTGCTACTGATTTGTTTTTGAGGGAAAGAGTGCTTTAGGAGAAATTCCGAACATAGTTGTGCTTGTTTTTCCTGCTTGTTAAAGCGAATAGCGGACAGGCAAAATTACTTTATCGGCAAATTTTATGAACCGAGAGAGTACCTCTACCATCTGTATGAATTTCATTTAAATTGGTTCACATACACCCGAGAACCAGACTCGTTTATTTTTACTTCTTGAGAGTGAATTTTATGGTCAAAACATAGACCTCAGGCCGACGTGATTAAGTGCGGTTACCATGGCAACGACACATCTGCCAATCCAAATATGGCTGTCTTTGTTCCTCCCCCCCCCCAGGTAACTCCACACAAAAAAATTAAGTGGGGTTAAAATTTTTCATTTCCAACTTTGCTTCACTTTCTCGGAGAACTGCTCTTAATGGTTCGAAAGAATAAGAAAACTTGTCAATTTGTTTCTTTACCAATGAGAGCTTCTCAAAACAAAATTACCTCTTACTCCCAAGTGCCTCTTAATAAATATAGGCGTGGCACGCATGCAAGACTTAATTTTCGGCTGGACGGGTTGAGGTGGGAAACTGTGTAACTGATGTTTTCATTTTTGTAAAAGAAAAACCTTTTTGGGGCCGTTTTAGGAAGTTCATCGCACGTCCCACCCCTCCCCCCCCTTCATTTTCGGAATTTCTGTACAATCAGGTAATTAACAGCGTATTCAGAGGCATGTTGCCAGAAGAGAGGAGCTCTCTATTTCAGCGCGCGCCTCAGGGGTGGGGTGAGATTCGCTACAACTCTATAGACCAGTTTCATAGATGGCTGCCGGATTAATATTCTTTTGTTTAAATTTAAATTAACCCTTCTGGCCTCGTTCTCCAGTACGAAATTCAAAAGAATACATTATCTCAAGCGAGGCCAGAAGGGTTGATTTAAATTTAAACGAAAGAATATTAATCCGGCAGTCATTCATGAAAGTGGTCTACAACCTTAAAACTTAAAATAGACATTTGCTGCAGATTTGGCTGCTTCACTTTTCAAAGCAACAAAGCGATCAAAGTTAGAGGGGTGGTAAGTACGATATTTAATTGTTAATGCGCTGATGAGTAAGTGTGTTATCTCATCAATTTTACAATACGTATTTCCACGCCTTTATTAGTAGAACTGCTCTTGCATAGACCCTTGCTATATTGATTAAGATACTAATTAGTCATTGATTGCTATTAAAGGACGTCGTTCTGAACACATTCCCTCTATGTTTTCAAATGCTTTTCATATCCTAATAAGAAAAAATCTTATGTGCATTAAAATCGGCACTATTGCGATGTTGAGTCAAATTCATTTCATTCATACCTATCTAGCGTTTGGATAACAATCGAGCGCCTGTTTAAATTGAATCCAATAGGTATGCCTAATGTGTGCACAAAAACTTCCCGGAAAGGTTACAATGGTTAATTTCATGCGTGGAGTCAGTTATCTTTGGCAAAACATGTACGGATTCAAAGAGATGGTAACCGTTGTTGGTTTTCCCGATGTAAAAAAATAGGTAAAACAGGGCCACTCGAAATCGAATTTTTTTTGCATTGGTAGAAAAAGTTCATCACATGAACAGAGATTCGTTTTCGCACAGACCACTTTCATATATGGCTGCCGGATAAATATTCTTTTGTTTAAATTTAAATTAGCCCTTCTGGCCTCGTTCTCCAGTACAAAATTCAAAAGAATACATAATCTCAAGCGAGGCCAGAAGAGCTAATTTAAATTTAAACAAAAGAACATTAATCCGACAGCCATTTATGAAAGTGGTCTATATAATCTCAATTTGGGGGTTTCTAATGTTGTTCCCTTAGCCGTCCTGAGAAGAGCTTAAGGGTTTTCAGTGTCGTGGTGACACAGAGTATATTTTATACACAGTATTGTTAAATTTCAAATAAATTCGAGGCGGGAAAATCTATTTTGTGTGATGAGTTTACTTTGTGCACTTAATTTATTGGGAAGATGGAGAGCGATTGATTTTCAGGCTCCTAAACGGCCTTTTTGCTGTTTACGAATCGAT